AACGACAGGGCCCCTTGGGCCTTAAATATACAAATTATTATTATTATTATCACGCCTGGACGCAATATTTTAACATCGGACAAACAAATTCTCCGAAGACTCGCCCAAAAGCTCCGCAACAACATAGTTAAGGATCTTCTGTTCGCGCCTAGGATGCCCATAGCAAACTTTGTGGTTTGGGCACAGTGGGTTGACGGTTTGAGGTTGGACGTTCGATAGTATTCCGCGCAGGCTTCTTATTGAGAAGACCTGGGAGGCGAAAATTCAATTGAAAAATGTATACGTGGATCAACAGTTTCTTGTCTCTCAGAGAACAGAGGGTTGTTGTTGGTATCTCAACCTCGGAACGGGAAAGAGTAGAAAGTGCTCCACCACAAGTGTTTTGAGCCCGATACGTTATCTGCGCTGACGGTGAAAAGAAGTTACAATCGAATACCAATAAAATGTCTGGCCATCCACAGAGCTTCCTAGTTTTTACGCATCCAAGTGTCTGGTCCTACACAGACACATAATTATTTTATGGAAAGTACCGCATCGGAATAAATGGATAGGCACAAAGATCTGGACATGCGGACATCCGCGAACTTGACGACATCAGAAAATTGCGAAAAGACAGTTCAGAAGTCAAATAATACGCTGCACTGGATCAGATGCGCGTCCGATCTCTTCGAAAAAATATTTGGTGCCTTCGAGAGACCACATTTTAAGGACAAAATGCCAGCTTATACACCACGGATTCAGGAAAATCTGGACCTTCTCGAACAAGTGCAATGGAAGGCGACGAAGATGGCTATGGCCTTAGGGACTTACCGTACCAGGACAGACTGACAAAGCCATATTTGTAGCCCTTATCTTATATGCACTTACAGTGTAGCCCGCTCTACACATTTCGAACAATCTGGGGCTCCCTTAGAATGAACGGATTCCTTCTAGTTAGCTGACATTGCGTTGCCACCCTTACAAGGTGACACCTGAACGCACTCAAATGGAATTCCGAAAGTATTTTCTTCTGCCGACGAGTGATACGACATTGGAACTCATTACCAAACTAGACGGCTACTGCCGACACTATGACGGATTTTAAAAGAAGAGTTGATAGCATTATATACTATCTAATACTAGCAATATAAAAATATTCATGGCTCTAATTTGTTTTCAGACTGTTTCGCATTACACCGCGATAAAATATTCCAAGGTCCGTCATGATAATATTTAAAACTCCATATTGACTGTAAAAATCATATGCTTACTTTACATTAATAGGGCCATCAATGTCATTCCTTGTCTAAAACCTTTCTAATATACCCATCAAAATATTCGGACAAAACTCTGAGACTTCTTTTCCGGTACATAGCAGTTAAATATCGTCATTTATTTTTTAAAACATCTGCAATCTCAAATAAGTTTACCTTAAAAATGAAAACTTGCAAAGCTCTCCTTTGTGTTAGCGAACGGTTATTCGGCTATTATAGTTCAGCTGACCTTCAGAAATTTGGTTGTTGAATTCGTACAGTTCACTTGTCAAAATAATTGAGCTCATAGCACTAAATCTCGCCGTGTTTTCGTATTACGAGTGCAATTTTTCTGATTTGTAGTTCACCATCCAGCAACTAGCCGCAATTGATGATTAAGCCATACATCCCGATCTGATCGTTGTGTGGAATGGAGAAGTTACCACAAACTCCCACGACACTATTGCCAACTAATTGAATTCCGGAAAAAACGTTTACTTCCAAAGCATAAACAGCAATTGCTTGTTTTAATGCTTGCTCGTTATTGCCATATGTTCTGAAAGTTGAAATTTAATATAAAATAATTTTTTTTCAGGCAACCGATTTCACGGCGTCCGTCTCACTGACAAGATTTGATTATCTTTGCATGGCGCATGTACGACGCAAAGGTAATGCTACTTTGAAAATATCCGTAATTCATAGATTAACGGCCTCATAACTGCGTTACGTTATTAGAAAAAATCGCACGAGTATTCGAACCAGAAAGCTAAACTAAGTGTTTGCGCTATCAAAGGCCATAACGTGTGGTTAGAGGACTAGTGTGAAGAACAACTTCGAATTATGCCAGCCGCACGCAGGCATACAGAGTAAATACAACAACGAAGAAGTACTCTGCTGTAGTTTTCATAAAGAAGTTGATGCATAAACATAGAGAGTTGACCGCAGAATTTTGTAATCAGTTAACTTGATTGGCTATACTTCGGCCGTTGACAAAATAACATATTTTTTGTGATTAAGGTTTTCAGACAGTGCGATACATAGCACTTAAGTTGATCCATATTCAATAATTGGCTGGTGCGAATTTTATTTTTCTTTAGAGTGACGTTCGACAAATAAGCTTGTGCAGAAAGCTCCACAACGACTTGCCAGTTTGAATTTAAATATCAAGCCTATCGCGCTTAACGCATTCAGTTTCACTAGTGACAAACTTCCGGGGGACGTGCAGTTATACCATGAAATTCTGCTTAAAACTTAATCCCAAAATGCATGGTGTGGGCATTGCTTAAGTCGACGATGTTAAGTAATGTAGCAATACATCAGCGACCTCATTTATTAATGAAACATTCTGTTGCGACCATTCGTCGGATACATCCCGTAAAAATGTTCGATCCTGAACTGTGACTGAAAATTCCATTGAATGTTATTTTGAATATTTGCTTGTATTTAACCTTCATCATAGTTTGTTGAAGAACATTTTGAAGCTGTTAGCGTTCTTGGGAAAGGGGAGAAATCCAACCTTTGTGCAAATACCGGACGAGGAAAAGTGACTTAAATAACTCAACGTACATTTGGTAAGCAACCATCCGTTGACCTCTTTCCTCAAGCGTGTGTGCTATCTTTAACGCAAACCTTACAATTAAACAGATAGCACAGGCTATCCCTCAGCGACCTGTTATTCCTAAAATCTATTGATGACCTTCAAAATACCGGCATTTCTAAGAGAAATCCATACATCGCCGCCGATTTGCTTTGGTGTGTGGAATAACTTTTGGTATTATCGCGTTTATGATTTCGATAGAAATTGCATCGTTTTCGTAAATAGTATTTAGGATCGCTTTAATTAAAGGTTTAAGGTTAATTTTTATTATTAGCGTTCTTAGAATTTGTAGCAAAATTGGGCAGTATCATCTGCGGTCATTTTTCCACAAGGATAGGCTAGCAAAAAATTAGTGTTGCAGTATTTCGTTGTTTTCCTCTTCTGAAAGCCTAGCTTGTGCCCCTTCCTCTCCACCTTTTGTTATTATCATTCAATAAGACTTCCTTTTTAATCTATCTAACTTCATGCATATGCGCTTATAGGAGTGCACTAGTGCATAGCATAGCTCCTAGCTCCTATACGTTTAATTCTGCCTACGTATACGAACGCGCCGGTTAGAATTTTGGAGAACTCACTTTTGGTAAATGCCGCTTTATGAAGGTAGTTGTGTTCTTAACTCGACCATAAAATTTCAATATTATTTTTGAGTTATGTATCGAAGACAAATGCCCTTATCCGTATTGGTGAATTCCATACGTGTAGTAGGCTGGGAAAGTAAATTGACCCAAGCTTGATTAAATTCATGGATCTTGGCATGCCTTCGTAGCCCAACTGTTAGCGTTTCGACTTTAATACAGCTTTCCCTGCTGATGTGGTTCAGAATCCCACCGGGGCAACGAGTTTTTAAAAATTTGCTCAATTGAATTATTAAAATGTGCCAATCCGTCCACCACTTTAAGAAAGACAAATATTTTCATCACACATACAAATTATTATTCCAAGTTTATTCCTTGTGTTTTGTAAAAAGCTCCTTGTGCGTTTAAACCTTCCGACAAATGATTTCCGAAATGCATTTCAACAACTCCCTCCCATTACCTCGCCCACAGATGCGATCAATCAGTACCTGATTAGGATTTAATTCTTGTTTTGCAGAGTGGTATAAAGGATACGAAGTCGCTATTAGATATTTTTGTTTGTTTTTAATTAAAAGTCTTCAGCCAAGTTTTTGTCCCTTTTTTAAATTTGCAAGAAGCGTTTTCTCTCATGTTTTTGGTAGTCAGCGTGGCAGTTCAGGCCGATGATCAGCAAAGTAATACTCACTGCCAATTTAAACGCTGCTGCTTTTTGTTCTACAGGTAACATGGAAGGTCTATTGTACAAGTGGACTAATTACATAAATGGTAAGATTTGTAGCGCACTTTTCTAGCAACCTACTCCAGGCTGGCAGCTACGTTATTTCTCTCTGCGAGATGGAGTTCTTTCCTACTACAACTCAGAGGTGGAAGTTGGTCTGGGATGTAAGGGTGCAGTGAAGGTAGCCGTCTGTGAAGTGATAGGTGAGGCTATTTGCCTAGATCATTTCGAGTCCTCACAGTTAGCCCCTCAGATAATTGTCGATTGGATATCCTCGATCCTGGAACACAACGCTTCTATCTGAGGGCTCGTACCCCACTGGAGCGTCAGAAGTGGATAATTGCCCTTGGCAGCTGCAAAGCCTTTTTGTCTTCGCCGGACAATTTCCTCACTCCGGAGATACGTAAGTGACTTAAATGTTTTTTTTGTTGCACAGAGGTTTTTTGTAGCTGAAAGTTGTATTCTTCCTTCGAGGATGTTCCAGTCACTGTATAGAGACTTATTAACTCGAAAAAAGTTCCTTAATTATCATACCCTTCCACCTAAATCGTTGAAATCTCTCATCGGCGAGATATTTTCGAAGAAAAGGCATTTTTGGTTCCTTATTCATAGACGGGCATTTGCCGCGTTCCGTCAAATTACTTGTTGATAAGCATTTTAAGTTGTCAAGTTTACTCACAGTTTATATGTTTATACTTTTATATCGCGTTTATTTTGTGCTGCGCTCGCAATTTGATAAGGCACTGATATTCTGGAATTGTAGTTCAACTCATACACAATATAAAGGACCAGTTCGAGGAGAAAAAAGAACGTGTTTCGAATTTACCACCTTTTATATTCAGATGCATGCCTCCTACAAAACGTCTATAACTGATTCAAAAATAGGTTTCTTTGTTAAGTTCCTTTCGGCGGCTAAAATGCTGCCCATCGTTGGTTTACTCAAACAATTTTTTTGTGATTTTGAGAGGTGTAAGCATCCAAAAAGACATCCTCTTAGCCTTTTTTACTCATAAAAGAAAGTTTTGAACGTGCCCGTATAATGGTTAGAATCCATCTAATCTTTCTTCATATCAACAGGACTAGAAAAGTTTAAAATAGGCTATGGATAGTATAATTATTGCTCAGGATACTTTGTGTCACTCTCGGTCATACTATGAATGAAGGCAAGTTTTGTGTCCCTAGACTGTACATATATAAACAAGTAGGTATTATTTTGCTTGTACGCCGATCTTACCTCTCAGGATGTTTGAGTTTCTGAGCCACAATCTGAAGTCAAATTAGACATCAATTTCCAATCGGTATTTGCAACTCATGAATTTCTTTGTGAATTTCTTGCAAAGGCCGATTGCACGTTAAAGGTTTTCTTCGCCCTTCCACCCGATAGAGTTAGAACACGAAAAAAATGCACCTCACGGGAGTCATGTTGCAGTCTCTTCTTCGATGTTGGTGCATTAAATACGTTTTTAAGGAAAGTTCCTGCGCAATTATGGCGCTATGCTATTTTTAAGTAAAATTAAGCCTGGAAAATAATGGGGAGGGGTTGGCAGATGTGAATAATTCATTTGACCGAATCGCTAAAAAGTTGGCGACCCTGGCACCCACGGCAGCAAGGGAGATGTGTTAGTACAGCCAGCGCTCTAGGCAATTGAGCTAGGATGCCCCAACTGGTAGCAGGGAGTCTGGGTCGAATCCCACCGAGGCGGCCGAGTTCTTCACAACTGGTTTAAATGAATTTAGCACATACACGTATAAATGTCACGCGTTTAACTCTTACCTACTTAAACAGATGTCGATAAACCTATTTAGATAAAAACCTTCCGTCACTATCAGGTAACTTTTTTCATTAAGTTTTTTGTGTTACGCTTGGTTTTGAATTTGGATGCTCATCAAGTAAGAATTTCTACTAGGTTATCGGGCCGACTTCCTCCTCTATACTCAGCTGATGCCTTATTACTCTTAGCCGGTGTTGGTAAACATCCCTCTTTTATTTTCTAGACTACATACTTTAGGTAAGGTTAATTTAGTCAATCATAAACAAAGGCGCTGTAAAAATTATATCATGTAGCATTTTGACCACGCATCCTCATTAGGTTTTATTAAAAATCGCCTACTGAGTAAGTGGCAGTATTTTTCATTTATTCACGAGATCAGACTCGATTTGCATATTGCTATGCGATTCGAAAGCTGGTCTCTGATAATCAGCTAGCTGTTATATATTGCAAATGTGATCGTGTTGCGTGCACCCAAGCCATCACGACTGATGTCCAACAATTAGCTGGGAGTTATGCATGCAATCAGCATGAGGCTTTCGTGGCAGTGGGCTGTGTTCTGGAAATCATGTTTCCAGTCGAACGTTTGAGGTAAATTGTCATTCAACAGATAGTGGCATAGTCCACAAATAGACTATCGTAGCTTCTCTTTTACATCCAAACGTGTTGCGAAACCAAACTGTATACAATCGTCGCAGAGGTCTTACACGAACTTTTGAAATAACTAAAACCTATGCATTTGTCTTCAGAGACACGCACGGTAGTTTGCATGCTGGGCTGTGTGTACCTCTTTTCTGCTGCCAACAGGTTCTGCTCAATAGCTTTACTTTAGCCATCGGTAGATGCCCAATTCCCGTTTCCATGGTTACGCCCCCGTGGGTAGCCGTGTCTGTTGTGTAAGGGTGGCCGGCTCCATTAGCGTTTATATGCATTTTACGGCTTGACAATAAAGAGCACTAGATTATGGTTCACTTCATTTAATATTTTATTAAGGGTCCCTGTAAGGAACAAGACCACAAGACTAGCAACTAATTTGAGTTAAAGTATACAGTACGAAGACCTAGATATTAAAGTTTTCTTGATGCAATGGCTAAGTCGTTTTGCGATACAAAAACGACATAACGGCATCAGACTTGTTATGCAAAGAAACATTCTTCTAACTGCCCGCCCATTCAGTGTGTTGTGAGTTTTTTAAAGGACACAATCGCAGAGACGACTAACCCCCTCTGCCTTAAAGCTTTCCGGCTCCTGTACTTTTTGCTAAGATTTTGTGTTTTTATAATGCTAGACGTTTGCACCATCTGCTTGCAACTTTGACTCCGTCTCATGAGCCATTCATTTTCGCGACATATTGCTCTCTCTCTCTCCGGCAGACATAAACGCACGTCTACGGGCTCCATTTAAAAACCTTTTAAATAGGCATCCTAGCACAGGTAAACCTGAACGTGAGATATGTCGCCGCCACACAGCTGGCTAAACCGTTGCCGAGATTTTCGGTGCTCTGTATAGCGAGCGAGCAATTAGGCATGCTCTGATATGTGGGAAGTGGTCGAATAAAATGTTTCTCCAGAAAGAGCCAAATTATGTTACGGAAAATGATTTTAACGGTAAAAGACCGGTCATGAACGGTGAAACTTAGGAATTTTTTAGCTGATATAGAGGGAATTATGACAAATCGGGTGAACGCGAGGTCGTACAGATCAAGCTTGCTCATTCCTAAGCACTCAAACGACAATATCGGTATAAAATACTCCAAGGCGCGCGGAGTCTGTGATAAATGGGTGAAAAATAACCACGGGAGCATTGAAGGCGGAAAGAGATAAATGTGACATCCGCGGTCTTGGAGATCTGTGACTGCGATTCCGTGATATCTGCTCTGTAATCCTAGCTTCCACGCAGCATTTCATGCGAAAGTTTAAATGACAGAGGAGGCGAGTGGAAGCCTTTACCCGTCGTACTTTCCTATCCATATCACAATCCAAGCCGCGGCAGATCTGTGATTTGCTGTCGTGTCTTACCAGTTAATCATTCTATAGGCGCAGGGGACCAGGCCACATTATTCACCTACACTTAGTTTACTTTGATAGCGACCAAAAAGGTTAGCTTATACTGCGAATTTTCGCCTATATGTATGGTGCAGACGATTACCAGCATACAACGCTCAGCGATTAAGCACCGTCCTGAATCATAGGGTTCTGACTGCCGAGTCTCCCTTCAAGGGTGAACAATATAGCATGCAGGGGCATATAATTTGAATCAAGTGGCCATCATATGTTGATTTGCGTGTCAATGCTGTTAAACTGAATAATGAACAGAAAGATGTTTTCCGCCCTTGTTTTAAATGTCTCGCTTATACGAGAAACGCTCCCCGAAAGCCAGCATATATCGTTGCTAACTCCATTAATATGATTAATGTTGTTTCTTCTGTCTAATATGACGATTGTGTCGCAGTAAATATTTTAATTAAAGGACTCATTAGATGCTTTGTGCAGACACGAAAAAATCTCCGTCCTCAGTGGCCTAGAAGGCTACATCCAAGGCCGTTTTTTTCATCAGAATTGGGACTTACTTTCACTTTTTCTTCCGTTCCACGACTGACCAATAACAGGCCTTTATTTGAAGGTTGTTTAAGTTAATTTTGAAAATAATCTCAATAAGGAGATTGTTGGACGAGAAGGCAGAGTTAGTGTAGGAGAAATAGTTTCAAATGTTGCCGGGGCCCATTGCAATTTCACCATTTTCAAGGTAGGGGTTTAGGCAGTTGAAGTCAATGGTACTTAGGCTGATTTATCGCGATTTTGGAACGTTAAATCCTAAAGGCAAGATTTTTGGTTAGCGTAAATACTTCAGGTATCCACCATGTGCTCGAGAGCAAGGTGATGCAGGAGCCCTGACTTGCCTAGGAATTATATTAATATGGTAGTAGCCTTGTGTCGCACCTACCGCACTCTACCCTGCTCACGCACTGAAAAATAGGCAAAAAATGACCACAGGAGCATTGGAGGCGGACAGACTGTGGTTCCGTGCTATCACCTCTGCTATCTTAGCGTGCACGCGACATTTCATGCGAAGCTGAAAGCGACAGAGGTAGCGAACGGAAGCCATTATCTGTCATATTCATCTAAGCATATCACATTCCACGGCGCTTCAGATCTGTGATTTGAAGTGGTAATTTTATCAGTTAAGCTGATCAGGCAACATCATT